ACCCTAGATAAAAACGTAGCCAATAACATTCAGGACATACGCATAGGCAAAGACTTCATAACTAAAACACCAAAAGCAATGGCAACAAAAGCCAAAATAGACAAATGGGATCTAATTAAACTGAAGAGGTTCTGCACAGCAAAAGAAACTATCATCAGAGTGAACAGGCAACCTACAGAATGGGAGAAAAATTTTGCAATCTATTCATCTGACAAGGGGCTAATATCTAGAAACTATAAGGAAATTAAACAAATTTACAAGAAAAAAAACAACCCCATCAAAAAGTGGGTGAAGGATATGAACAGACGCTTCTCAAAAGAAGACATTTATGTGGCTAACAAACATGAAAAAATGAAAAAAATCACTGATCATTAGAGAAATGCAAATCAAAACCACAATGAGATACCATCTCATGCCAGTTAGAATGGCAATCATTAAAAAGTCCGGAAGCAACAGATGCTGGAGAGGATGTGGAGAAATAGGAACGCTTTTACACTGTTGGTGGGAGTGTAAATTCGTTCAACCATTGTGGAAGACAGTGTGGCCATTCCTCAAGAATCTAGAACCACAAATACCATTTGGCCCAGCAATCCTATTACTGGATATATACCCAAAGGATTATAAATCATTTTAGTACAAAGACACATGCACATGCATGTTTATTGTAGCACTATTCACAATAAGAAAGACTTGGAACCAACCCAAATGCCCATCAATGATAAACTAGATAAAGAAAATGTGGCACATACACACCACAGAATACTATGCAGCCATAATAAAGGATGAGTTCATGTCCTTTGCAGGGACATGGATGAAGCTGGAAACCATCATTCACAGCAAACCACCACAGGAACAGAAAACCAAACACTGCATGTTCTCACTCATAAGTGGGAGCTGAACAATGAGAGCACATGGACATAGGGAGGGGAACATCACACACTGGGGCCTGTCACTGGGTGGAGGGCCAGGGCAGGGATAGCATTAGGAGAAATACCTAATGTAGATGAGGGGGTGATGGGTGCTGCAAACCACCATGGCACGTGTATGCCTATGTAACAAACCTGCATATTCTGCACATGTATCCCAGAACTTAAAGTATGTATATAAAACTAGTGGAGATAAATAGAAAAGGCAGAGTCCTTAAAGATAATGAAGCTTTAAATCAGCTTGAGCTAAAAGAAGTAAATTAAGAGAGAGCCAAATAGAGGTCTCTGTGGAATCCAACAAAGATGTGCTATGTAGTAGCCCCAATTTTGGCACATAAAGCCTTATAGATGTTGCTTCACTAGTTTTAAAGGTTTCAAAAGTGGCATTTGACTAAGGTCAGGTCACTTGGTTTTGTTCCTGAAATATGAACATCACCCTTCTGTCTCTTAAGTGCATTCAGGTGGTTGCAAAAGGCACTGAGCCAGAAAGCATTAAGTATGGATGTCAGTCTGTCTCTGCTAATATGAAACAATTCAACACACATGACAAGCCACCATTAAATCAGCAAAGTTCTATTTCTATCCTGTTACTAAGTGCAGAAATTGGCCCATTTGCAAAGGTTCTGCTAATTGGCTCTTTTTAAATGTAGAACAGTTATCCTCATTCTGGGATCATTGGGATTATTGGTTCTGCCTCCAGATAAGCAGAATAAACAAACCTCAGTTCCAACGAAAACTACTTCTGTTGTATTCTTCCATGCCAGGCTCTCACAGCCAATTCTAATTGGTTGTTTGCTTTTCTCCTGTGTCTGTATCTTCTACATATACCTAGACAAATGGACAGCTCCTGAGAGTGTTGTTGCTTAAAATGTTTCCAAATACTATTTGCCCTCCGTTGGCAGAGCTAATCAGCTCACTTGCAGATAGGGTTGTCCATTGGATTTAGTTTTTGCTTTCATTTCAGGAAGGGGTAAAGTAGCTTGTAACAGACCTTTTAAAAAGTATAAATGAGGCTGGGTGCAGTGGCTGAGGTGGGCGGATGGTCTAAGGTCAGGAGTTCACGACCAGCCTGGCAAACATGGTGAGACTGCGTCTTTGCTAAAAATACAAAAATTAGCCGGGCATGGTAGTATGCACCTGTAACCCCAGCTACTTGGGAGGCTGAGGCAGGAGAATCACTTGAACCCAGGAGGTGGAGGTCACAGTGAGCAGATCA